TTGCTAGGCAACGGCTCCGTAAACACGTTCCCGTTGCAACGAAGACCTGTCAGAGGGGTCATTTTTTATGCAGTCTGTGTCGTATCGATAGAAATTAGGCTATTAAAACTTTCCAGAACTCCTTGCTATTATTTTAATATCAGAGTTAATATACAATTGTAATATACAAACATCACACTACTCATCACAAGAAATTGAGAATTACATACATTGCAAGAGTTGAGACTTTCACCTAATATAATATTTTAGATTGTGTCACTGTATAAGTTTGCAGGCAGATACCAATGTTTTAGGAGGATATGCTACCTTCGTCTAATTCCTCATCCTACATATTTCTACCTTGAGGAATTCGATGTCCACCCACAAGGCTGCGCATTTCCAACTCCCAGACGACCTCAGGGGTTCTATTGATCCTCCGGAAAGTGAAACAAACAAATTCTCAAGTTCCGTGCTTCAAATAATAAAACATACGGAAAGTATTAACATAGATGAAAGGTATAAGAGTAGAATAGGAAGTGACTATTGAGGCCTGTTCCAAAGTAATATCCGAGCATTTACGTGGAGAAGCTGAAGAAAACTACGAAAATCTCTGATAGCTTTAGTCGATTAAGGCTGCCGTTCGAAATGAGACATATCACAGACGCAAGGTTTGCGAGTTGTGACAAGTTTGGTTACTTGGAGCTTAAATATAAATTGAGTGACTTAACACGCACGTGGTGTTGACAGCAGCATGTTTCGCTGGCCTGGAAAGCGGTTCTCTACACAGGTAAACGTCAAGCCCAAGAACGAGAATAATGAATTTTGTAATAGTCCGATATTAGCATGAAGTGGTATCACACTCGAAGAATAGCGTTGTGGAGCATAAAGTTCTCATATCTCGGAGCGTGGGTTCTACGCTACGAAGGAACGGAAAACTGCAAAGAAGAAAATGGAATGCTATGCAGAGAGTGTTGTTTTTACTATGCTGTATAGGAAGGAATCTTGGTTTGTAATATATGGATGCAACTATGAAAGAAATTGCAAACCTACGGTTTTCATGTAGATAAATAGTGCATATCCATGCAGACATAGTATGAAATCTATGCATAAGATACTAATTTAAAGCACTGTCGTAAATTGCAGAAAAGGGCATATGTTGTTTACCCAAGCACAGAGAATAATATAGAAATTGTACATGGTTCTTTGGAGGTCCCAATTTCGAATCTCGGACGCCGCTACATCGTTTTACATTTAGCGGTATGCCTGCCTACTTCTGGGAACAATTTGGAAATACTTCTCCAAATGTGGGAGCTTTGAGTCGGCGGGAAGGGTGCAGTTCGAAGATTTAATACGTGGAGGACACATGTTCGAACCTCTCCCTCTGTTCAGTCAAGATATTGATACATCTACAACTACTGCTAGGCAAGGGGTTGGTAAGAAACTCCCTGCGAAGATAGATTCTTGGTAACAGTCCGTTGCTAAGTTACGCAACAATAGAGGAATGTCCGTAAACATTCTCACGACAAAGAATACAGCCAACAATAAAAAAACTTCTGTTTCTATGCGACGGCACGTAAACACCCACTCTTTCTTTTTTCTCGGCACTACAGCCCCAGTAGGCCTAGGCCTACCTCCATGAACTTCTCCGTTCACTTCGGTTTTTCTAGATCTTACACATTCGGTAGGGCTCCTTGGGCGGGTGATCAGCTCGTCGCAAGGTCTCTACCTGTACACAAACACAGAAAAACGCACACACACAAACTAGACATCCATGCCCTGAGTGGTATTCGAACACACAATCCCGGTTTCCAAGCGAGCGAAGACAGTACATGCCTTAGACCGCTCGGCTACTGTGACCGGCAGTGTATAACAAATCAGTTCCTACCTCACAGGAAATAGATCCAAACCCACGATCCCGGTTTCCAAGCGAGCGAAGACAGTACATGCCTTGGACCGCGCAGCTACCGTGACAGGCAAACACCCACTCTTAAGAACGTGAAAATAATATAGCGGACAGTGTAAACATACGGAACAATAGGACGTCTACTGTTAGGTAACGATGCTGTACACACGCATGGACGTCGCAACGTGAGAGAGTGAAGCGGCGTATTATATAGAGAAACTGCAGACCGATTGTAAAATATTAAATAATCCGTGTGTAGTAAGGGAAGATGATTTTCTCTGGAAAAGGAAATGTATTCCTGAGAAGTGGAAAAAGGCTAATCCATAAGAAATATAGAAATAGAGGAGTATAAGACAGAGAAAGAGAAGACGAGAGATATGAAATGGAGATTACTCATATTAGAAGGAGGAAGACAAAGAAATGAAAAGCGGGAGAGGAGAAGAAAAGGAAAAACTGTAAATAAATAATAAAGATAATGATAATAATTTGAATAATGTGAAGATTGTTGAGGAGAAAGTACTACTAATGATATGGGAATGTCTTGTATTATTGTCAGCGTGTATTTACTGCCTAAGAAAACCAGTTGATCTATAAGCAGTTAGATATTGGGGTAGGATTAGCAGTAACATTTCTAAAAGAATCAAAGAAGTAACCTCAAACATCGCCGTGGTTACAAGTCATGACACAGTATCTATATTTTGGTTCCCAACATCGGTCCACTAACTTCCCCATAAACGTACTTAGGTTCTGCTAGGGAGCACATTGTGAACAAGGGACATAAACACTAACGGACCCTCATGTATGAGTGTTATTTCCTTTATATATCATTGCAAATAAACTACCAGTGAATGAACTAATCTTGCTAATATATTTGAAAAGTCAAATAATTTTAAGGCAGATATGTAGCCCATTATTTTTGCCAGCCATAAATTTTCCCTTACAAAGTCTTTGTCTATTCCATATCAGTAACTCGTACATAACTACGGATTCTGTTGCAGAGCAATATCATATACATAAACATATTATACATAAGTCGGACGTTTCGTTTGCATGCGCAACAAACACCTCGCTGTGACCCTGGTACTCACAAAGTACCACCTTAATATCACACGCAATATTGCATGTGTTCAGAAATTTTCTCAATACTACCCAGCGTTCGTTATAAAGCATTCCAAAGGCTTAGGAAATCCTGAGTCTTCGTAAGCATTTCTTATATGCTGTATGTATGCGTGTTGTAATTGCATGTTGTACGAAGTGCAAGGATTCCTCGAGTGAGAAAGGAAGAAGCATATAAATTATTGTGAAATACCTGAAACATTCACATATTTCAAATTTAAAATATGTTAAAAATCAGATGTTGGTTCACAATTCATTTTGTCCTACTTTAGCAATCTGATTTTACACCAAATGCCTGAGCCTCGCAGAATGGAATGCAACTTTCAGTGTATTACCGCAAATCTCTAAATGAAATAAGTTAATGCTTGGCGTTAATATTCGGAAAGTAATACTTAACTTCTGTTTTATGCATGATGTCCGTTTTAAATTTAATTATAAAGTAGAACGAAGCACGTAGCATATGGAAACAGCCCGATGACCTTGACTAAAGTGTGAGTTTAGTTCTATATTAATTATGACGAGTTTTAATTAAAGAAACGGAGAAGGACATTCTGTAGGTAGATTAGAGTATCAAATTGTGATAGTTGTACACCCACATCATACGTTTTAATTGACATCATATTTGTTTTACAGATATTATAATAGTGTGTTACTGGCAGCGTCCTTACAACAAGATTAATGAAAGTTCATGAACTCGAGCGATATACGCACAAATATCCTCCATAGGCGTTTCTTAACTGGTGAATCCAGTGACTGAGACTAGCTCTTTCTAACGGGCCCAACTGAGTAGGTTTATCCTGCCCCATCCACCTGAGGACGGAGACAGATCCAGTCTCCGAAACGTTGTGATTTTTGTCTTATATATACCAGACGATGGATAGAGTCCAAAATAAGCCTAATAGTTCTGTACTGCATACACCATTGTCAGAATCCTTTCAAGTATATTGGTGAATAAAAGAATAAAACAAGTGTTATAAAAGCATGAGTGTTTCAGCGTACTGACATTACACATAGGACCATGCGTTTATTATACGTGTGCTCTGAGGGAAATTTCGAAGTATTTATTAATATTGCTAACATAAAACTTAATTCCGCTAAAATATACTAACACCCCCAGAATGCTACTTTCATAGAAGATTAAAGGTGAAGCTGACAAGGTGAAGTTATCTCTGTGTTTAACGAATTAAGCATTACTGCATGAAGGCGTATGGGGGAGTGGATGTATAGATCCGCGTATTCTTGTCCTAGGCACTAGCTTCAGGTGAGTTTCCAGCTTAACGCCCCGGCCGTTTTATCCCCGGGAAAAGAGCTTCCGGTACCCATTGTTTAGGATGTTGGCTGGACCCCAGGACAGGTCGGGACGACTTGGAGAAGAGAAAATTCTTGACCCTAGCGGGACTCGAACTCCAACCCTTCTGTTGTCTAGCACGTAGACAGTCGCTATACCGACTACGCTATTCCGGCTTCATAAAAGACTAAAGACCATTTATAAATGTCCACGTAATATAACATTTATTTTCTAAAAAAGCATACTAATTAAACCTTTGCCACAATTACATGGGGTACTGTACACACTGCTTCGTCTGCTGGGCGTCTCTGACCGGTCAAGTTTTCGTCGTTGTCCCAAGGAGTGTTTGTTTATTGTTAAAAGTGATCCTGACATTGAAACAGTTTCCAATACAACTGAATTTGTTTATCGTATCTCCGAGAAATTCAGAGGCACTGAAAACCGTCTGGAGATTGTATTCTTTCTTGATAAGGCTGATAAGTACTATGCATTAACACGTATCAATCTCGTGAGCTTCTGTATAATATCCTCTGCTACAGACACAGAGCACGTAAGCCTTGCTTGCCGGCCTCAATGTATACTATTTTCCAAAAGAGGCTGAAGTCACCTTCGCGTTCTGTATTTCCCCATTTCTTGCTGTCCACTGTTCTCCTACCCACTGTCCCTATGCCTGAATGCATACTGCCAAACACTGAGCGTCATTCGCGACTTGGGCTTCAAGCTGACAATTGCTTTGGTTTCAGCAGCGTCCGTGGAACGGTTCGTCGGACCTCCTGCTGATTGGGAGTCGCGGGGTGAGTGTGTATTTATTTTTCTAAATTGTATTTAGTCCGTTAATTTAACCCCTCTTTTGGCCTCATTTTACACCGAAATACTGATCTCTAGCTCATTTCCTAGGTCTGTGTTTTGTTCCTCCTCTAGCCATACAACTGAGGCTGATCATAGGTTTTCATTCCGCTATTTCATATTGTTTCATTTCATTATTCTTGCCTGCCCTCTGCTCTGCAATATATTAACAGACACTGCTGGATAAGATTCGCACCAAAATTGATGACCACTGTAGTAAACACAAGGGCTTACTCTATATGTTAGATCGACGTTATTGTTAGTATTTTTTGCTTGTTTATTACATAGCAGGGGTATGCTGTAGCGTAGTTGATTGAGGGGCCATGCTACAAGCCGGAAGGTCGCAGGTTCAAGTCTCGATGAGGCGAATATTTTCGATTGACTTAATCCTTCCAGCCGCATTAAAGCCCTGCGGTCGACTCAGCCTCTTAACAGAAATGAGTACCACGAATCTTCCTGGAGGGTAAAGGGCGGCCGGCGCGTAAGGCTGACAACCTTACCGCCATCTGTGGGCCGATTGTCTAGAACAGGCATGTCAAACTCAACTTGTACAGAGGGCCACCTCAGCCCTATGAATAATAGTCCAGGGCCGCACATCAAAATAGAAATATACATTAGATTTTGATACAAGGAAATTTAATTCTATTTATTATTTAGGAATAATTTCAATATAATTACCTAAAGTCATATATCTTACAGTTTTATAAAGCAAGAGAATGCCATTTTTGACAAGTGTCGAGGAGCTTTTCAATATGTAAAAAGAGAGATTACACAAGAAATTATGTTAGAAATAGCAAAACATTGAATTTCCTGCAGCCTGCTAATTTATGTCTGCGTGAGACTTCTTGTCTTCTGGTCTGTTGGAAAATTGTCTTTACAAAAAATATTTCTACTAAAATTTTAATATTGATTTTAATATCAATTAGCTCTAAAAGTTGAAGGGCAGCACTTTGTGGCTATGGGGGCCGCATGTTTGACACGGCTGTTCTAGAAGATGGGTCTCCACGGTCTGTTACAGAGATAACTTTTGTTACATAGCTATTGGATTCAATTACAGCAGTGCCACAGAATGAATTACTGAATTATATTTCTTACTGGGAGAAAGTCCCAAGTCAAAAGGGCCCTGGAAGTTCGGAGACATATGTCGGTTTATTGCCCTATCGCACCCTGCATCTCCTATACTCTCTTTCATCTCGTAGCTCTGCTACAAATAGAAAATAATTCAGTGCTAATTCAGAGACGCTCTTTTAATACAATTCAATTGGTATGTAATTAGTAACTAAAGAATACAAACTGCAACGCAGCCGTAAGATTCACAACTAGTCCTTGCCTCTACAAAGGTAACCAAGGATTTTGATGTGGTTATTATCCATTAGTGTGGTTAACAGATTACAGAGCTCAGGCAAAATTATAAGGCAATCAGACGTAGGAGTGATAAGTAAGAAAATTAAAATCAGCAATCAGCCCGAGAAATAAGATGACCGAACCGAATTTAACTCAGTATACACTTATCTCACAACTACCGGAGTTTCAACTAGCCCCCTTCTCCTCCCTGGGCATTGTTGCAGCCAAAGCAGTTGTCTCCAAGACCAAATCACGAATGCCAATGACTGAGCCGCATTTTAACTGGTAAGCAAAAGAAGGCGCATGTAGGAAAAGAGGGGTGTGTAGGAAATATGGGGAAAGAAAGGGTTGCAAAAGAAGGCGGCTGCAAGCCTCACTAGAAAATCGTATACAAAGCAAGTTTGTAAGTCAGATATAATTACATAGGCCACCATACTAATGCTTTATAATCCACGAAGGAATACATGAAGACAACTATCATACTTTTAAGTTATTCATTCATTCATTCATTCATCTGCAATCTGTCAAGACGACAGGTCCACAGTTTCTTCCAAAACAATACCTACACTTGATGCGATCTAGAGCTTTCTCCTTCAAATGAAAATATCCTCTTCTGTCCCCAAGGTCATCCAGCATCTTCTTACGTCTTCTTCCTCGTCTTCTGGTCACTTCTACCCGCCCATCTATCTTTCGTTCAATAACTTCTTTTATAAGGCAGTTACCGCGTAAGATATGACCAATCTAATTAGCCTTCCGTTTTCTTATTTCGTGTAGGATATTCCTCTGCTCACTGACTCTAAATAACACTTCTTCATTTCTCACATAATCGGTCCAACTGATCTTCTCCGTCCTTCTCCAACACCACATTTCGAAGCTTTCCAGGTGTTTGTGATCTACTGCCCTAAGTGTCCATGTTTCGGCCCCATACAGAGCTATGCTCCAAATATAGCATTTCACTAGTTTCTTCCTCAAATTTAAGTCCAATTTGCTGGTAAAAAGATTCTTCTTCTTGCTAAATGCAGCTTTTGCCATGGTATTTCTACATTTAATTTCACACATACACCTTCCATCATCTGTTAACAAGCTACCCAAATATTTAAAACATTTCACATTCTCCAGTTGTTTTTGGTCTATCTTTATTGTGACTGGGGTTGGTTATTACTGAACAAAATATCAGGATTCTACAGCGACTGACGCTGCCATTTCACAAACGTGCATATCCGTCATGTTGGTATTATTGATTGTAGAAGTTTCTGATGGCTTAGTGTTCATAACAGGTATCATGAAAATTTCTTTCTCCATTAATTTAATAATTGTTAGGGAGAGATGGATGCTGACGGAAGAAAGCACAGACAATTCGAAAACTGAGGCCAATCTCTCCTTTAAAGCAGCAAGAAGAAGCCAATGATATCTGAAATATAATGACAAAAATAATTAAGATTCCCCCAAAATTATCTGAATTACTGCTATATCATTGAGGTCTATTTAGTATAAATATTGAAGCTTCAGGTGAAAAGAACTCTAGAAAGTAGAAGTGAAACCTTTGGATATGCTAGTTTCAGCATGCGGTTGTGTTTCAGTATACAGGAGCCGTAGGAAGCATGTTGTTTACGATGACGGACAAATCAGTTTATGTGTAAAACTCTAACGGTTCCTTCTCTTCCTAACCGAAAACAGTACGGATACCATCAGCTTCGAATGGGAACGAGTGAGAAAATACGGTACAACCAGCACGTGCATGTACTGTGGTCTGCTGTTTGTTATTCTGTAAGATGTGGGCCTAACCCTTATAGCTTTACTGGATAGAGTTTGCAGAAAATTGCTTCCAACCCTTTTCAGTACTGCGATCCTGTTCCCTATTACCCGTATCCCATTTTAGGTCTAATCCTGCTTTGCTAGCTACCGTCATTTATCCTGCCTTCCTTCTCTCTTACTTTCTGTTTATGGAATCATCTCATTTCAGTGTAGAACAAATTGCTGTTGTTGGACATCGACCTGGGTGTTGGTGATATTGTAATGTATTAGGATAGCTATGCACCATTAAAATAAGATACTGCACTAAAAATGACGATTGCGCACTGCATGCCTAAAAATGTGCCTGTTAGAATTCCTGGAATTGTACTTTGCTTCAGTTTTATTGATCGCGTTCAAAAAAAGGTAAGGTTCTATGGACGTTTTTCCAGTGTTTCGAGCCTAGCATTGCCGTATCGAGAAATGATGCCGTTACTTATGCCAGACTTTGCACTCACCTTGATGTTATTGTCAGTCTGATCTGAGCTGTACGTAATCCGAGACGGAAGTATACTAAATCCGTTCTTTGAGACTCGCCAACTCTTGTCATCACATACATTTTCGTCACGATGTAGGGGCACTAAGCAGCTATTCTCACTTAATTCAGGTTAAAAATTTACGTATTTCCTTTGTTTATACAAATACATATTTAGAAAGTATGTTGTTTAGGACGTGCCATAGCTCAATCGGTTAGTCGCTGACTTCCCACCGCGGCGGCCCGGGTTCGATCCCGGTTCTGGTCAAGTGGAATTTTTGATGGACAAAGTAGCGCTTGGGACGGTTTTTCTCCGAGTACTTCCGTTTCCCCTGCCAATCTTCATTCCACCGAGTTCTACATCATCATAATCACCCGGAGCAGGCTACAATAGGCCAATCAGTGGCCGCCATGCCGAGTGGTCCCAGTTGGACTTCACCCCCCCCCCACTAAGCGGAAAAAAAAATGTACTTAAGCTTCTGTGGTTTCACGCCTGCTTTTAATCGTAAGGTTCTCTTTTCATATCCCATTCTTGACTGATTGTGATTGTAGTGGCTGTTAAATATCTTATGTTGTTTGAGATAAAAATAATTGATAATGACCACTTCATCTCACGAATTTCCCCACTAGGTTACTCATATTACCTTCATATATTGCTTTCGGTGCTGCCTAATGCCTGTTATTGACAAAATACGCACCTAATATTTGCACAATATGCATAAAATGAACAATTAGTGGGGAAATAGTGTCGGACTGTGTTTGTCTATTAACCTTAAAAAACACACACAATTTAAAATGAATCTTGGGGGCGGGGCGGATAACAATAAGTTATTGAGCCAGTTTAATTTACATCCAGATCTGCTAGTATGAAATCTATTTATAATCAATTTATAACATAAAAGGACTCCTTGGGCGGGTGATCAGACCGTCACAAGGACAGTTATTTTTATTAAATGTCTGTAATTTATAGAGACCTAAATGCAACTGCATAAATTGTGGAAATTAAGGAAAGTTACGGTAGGTGCAGAAGAAGCCGAAACGCAAAAAGACAATTCTAAGGAAATTGACTTTGGCAGTCGGACGGTTTTCGTTGTTGTTCGGTATTCAGTAACTACATACCGTCTACTGCGCAACACTCGATTTCATTTCCAATGTAACACAGCCAACATCAGCCTACGTGAGGAAGAACTTGCAGCGTTTTCTTTTGTTTATGAGTTTAATTAGCCTTCATATTCACTTCGGGAAAAGTGGGCTTCACTTGGTCTATATTCAGTGTTCTGTAGGGTGTAGCAGATTCCTTTTGCTTGCATCTTAAACTTTAAAGCGTCAATATTATTA